TTATTTACTTTAAAAATCTTGCATTGAATTTAATCAGATTTATTCTTGTTTCATAAAGAAGATAATTAAAACGTAAGTATATAATTAAATAAAAATAAACATAGAAAATCTTTTTCATCCTTTTCAATTTCTGCTTTTGTTAGTGTATCTAAATCTAGGAAGTAAAATTTATATTCCTTATTTTTAATCCCATTTACTTATAATAAAACAAGATTTACTAGACTTTTTTTGATAGGAAAAGATAATACCTTTTCTGAATTCGACACTAGCAAAATCAAATGATGCTGATGATAGAAGTAATTTTAAAGAGTTACAGACCAAAAGAGTTTGTGCTAGTTTTGTTGGGAAGTATTAGTTTTCTTATACAGGCATACCTTGTTTTATTGCGCTTTGCTTTTTTGTACTTCGTAGTTACTGTGTTTTTTACAATTTGAAGGTTCAAGACCAGTAGAGGAAGTAACTGCAGATGTGGTAGAAATAACAGGAGAACTAGAATTAGAAGTGAAGCCTGATGTGACTGAGTTGTTGAAATCTCATGATAGAACTTTACTGGATAAGGAGTTGCCTCTTATGGATGAGCAGAGAAAGTGGTTTCTTGAGATGGGTGTTTTCCTCTTCACTCCTGGTGAAGATGCTGTGAAGTTTGTTGAAAGGACAGCAGAGGATTTAGATAATACATAAACGTGGTTGATAAAGCACTGGCAGGGTTTGAGAGCATGACAACCAATTTTGAAAGAAATTCTGCTGTGGGTAAAATGGTATGTAATAGCACTGCATGCTGCAGAGAGATTGCGAAAGGAAGAGTCAGTCAATGCATCAGACTTCATTGTTGTCTTATTTTGAGAAATTGCCACAACCACCCCAGCCTTTAGCAACCACCACCCTGATCAGTCAGCAGCCATCAACACTGAGGTATGTGTAGATTGCTTTGGGTAGTGTAGACCCCCCACCCCCAACACCAGCAAAAAACTTAGGACTCATTGATAGTTCAGATGATGGTTAGCATTTAAAAAATATTTCTAAACTTAAGCATGTACATTGTTTCTTTGTTTAATGTTATGTTAGTCACCATACAGTACATCATTAGTTTTTGATGTAGTGTTCCATGATTCATTGATTACATTGTTTCTTTAACATAATGTTATTGCACATTTAATAGGCTACAATGTAGGTGTTGACAAGGATGGGGACAAAGGGGAACCCTCTTGCACTGTTCGTGGGAATGCAAACTGGTGCAGCCATTCTGGAAAACAGTATGGAGGGTCCTCAGAAAGTTAAAAATAGAACTACCCTATGAGCCCAGCAATTGCACTACTAGGTATTTCCTCAAAGAATACAAAAATACAGATTCAAAGGGGTACATGCACCCTGATGTTTATAAAAGCAGCGTTATCAACAATAGCCAAACTATGGAAAGAGCCCAAATGTCCATCGACTGATGAATGGATAAAGAAGATGTAGTCTTACATACAATGGAATATTAATCAGCCATCAAAAAGAATGAAATCTTGCCATTTGCAATGATGTGGGTGGAGCTAGAGTATATTATGCTAAGAAAAATAAACATACCATATGATTTCATTCATATGTGGAATTTAACAAACAAAACAGATGAACATATGGGAAAGGGGAAAAGAAAAAAGGAGAGGGAAACAAGCCATAAGAGACTCAATGATAGAGGACAAACTGAGGGTTGAGGGAGGGGGGAGGTGGGTTGGGATGGGCTAGATGGGTGATGGGGATTAAGGAGGGCACTTGTTATGATGAGCACTGGGTGTTGTATGTAAGTGATGAATCACTGAATTCTACTCCTGAAACCAATATTGAACTGTGTTTTAACTAACTAGAATTTAAATAAAAATTAAAAAAAAAACTTACTAACATTTTTTAGTTATATAAAATTTAAAAAATAGTCTATGGTGTAAACATAACTTTTATATGCACTGGGAAACCAAAAAATTCATTTGACTCTCTTTATTGCAATACTTGCTTCATTGTGGTGGTCTGGAACCAAACCCCAAAGTATCTCCGAGGAATGCCTGTGTTGAGTCCAATTTTTACCCATAATTGATGGGGAAGTGCTAAAACCACAGTGAGTTATTTGCAGTGATGTCCTGGCTGCTACGACAATAATACCATCAAAATTTAAGTGGCATTTATATGTATTACATAAGTGCATTCACAACCACAAATGAATTATTTGAAAGAAGGAATATTACAGTTAAGCTGGCAGAAGCGGATCTTCAGGATTTCTTATGTAATCATTAGGGCTTTTTTAGTTTCTTTAAAAGTCTCATTATCATGTTGCTAACATTAAAAACAACTACACACAAATGAAAAGACAAAGGTGTTTGGAAATGTTGGATGAAGCCGTTACAAAGAAGATAGTTTATGTAATACTTTCTGACAACACCATAGCTTGATATATTTAGGAACAGTTTAGTGATACAGAAGACTGACTCCGTAGACATATAAAGATAGGAAAGGAATTTTTGTTACAATTTGATGAACACGTTGATTTTGTTAATATGACAGTGATATGAAGGCAGAATTTATTTTTCAACTTCCTTGCTGACAAACACAACTTATTGTGAATTATGTAAAACTTTGAAGGGTTAACAAATCAACAAATGTGGTCTGGAGTTTTGCTTTTGTAGGAGTATGTTCTGGTTATAGAGAGATGGTGACAAGAAAAACATGCTGGAACTTGTGCAATAATGTAAATCAATGTCCTGCTTCTTTCATTGAGAAAGTCTTGCTATTATCAGCTGAACTAAACTGTACTTTCTGTATCACCTAAATTAACAGTAGTTCACAAAAGTGTGAATTGCTTAAACACTAATGCATTAAATTTGAGATTAAAAAAAATGATAGTTTGGAAGCAGAGCCAGTCAACTGTTACCATATGCTAAGGAATACAATAATTTTCAAAGGGAGATGGTCAGACAAAAGTGTTTGAACTTTGGGACGAATGCTTAGTGTTTTTGCAAGATAAGGAACCAGTTTGGTTCCCAAACTTTTTAAATATGTGAATTAGACTTATTTGTCTGATAGCCTTATTCTTTTTTAAAAATGATCTTAGCCTTCCATGCACGGAAAGAATGTCAGATGTTTTTAATGTTATATAATATCAAAGGACAAAAATGAAAGTTAGAAATTTTGGGAAAAAGTTCCACAGATTGTTATGATGGGTTTCACAGTAAAAATTATCAGTAAAGTAGTTGATGATTTTTGTAGTGCACATTTATAAAATGTTAAAATCAAACTGGTAAGACAAACTTGGTAAGAAGTTTGTCAGATTCAGATTTCGTAAGACACACTTTGAATCTTATTTTTTATCAAAAGAAAGCCAGTACATAGGAAATTAATAGCTCAGGAATCCATTTTTTTTCATAAAAAACTATTGTGGATTGAGCTATAGTTTTGATGGATAAATTATTGATATTGGCTACCAATGAAGGATTGAAGACAAATTTTAAAAAGCATCATTTTCTGGATTTTGGGTAAAAGTTAAAAATTACTATCCTGAGCTGAAATTGCTTTATTCAAAATATCTTCAACTCCTGTTAACATACATCTATGAAACTAGTTTTTCTGTTATGGGTGCTATTAAAAGAATACATAGAAGTAGTTTAGATATACCTTATCCCTCATGGGTGGCATTGTCATCAGTCTAACCTAGTATAGGTCATTTAGCAAATGTGGTAGCCAGCCTCTGAGAGAGCTCCCAGGATGCCCTACCTCCTGGTATTTACATCTTTGTAATCCCCTTCCACACTGCAGTGTATATAGGGTTGATGTATAAGATTAGGTCATAGCAGATACTGCAGTGTCTGTCTTGTCTGTCTCTGGAAACCAGCTGTCATGTGGTGAACAGCCCAGTGGAGAGGTCTACATACTGAGGAACTAAGGCTTTTGGTCAACAGCCAGTTAGAAACTGAAGCCTTTTGCCATCAGCCATGTGAGTGAGCTCAAAGGCAGATTCTCTAGACCAGTCAAGCCTTCAGATGACTGTAGTCCTCACCAAAACCTCATAAAAGACCTTGAAACATAACCACCCTGCTAAACTGCTTCCAGATTCCTAACCAACAGAAATTGTGAGATAAGTATGTGTTGTTTTAAGCCACTAAGTTTTGGTGTAACTTTTAATGCAGTAATAGGAAAGTAAAAAAAAAAAAAAAAAAAAAAAACAAGAAACAAACTCACTTATGTTAAAAACTTTAAATATTAACACATGTGCTATTAGTTCAGGGAATGTGAATTGCTGTTTAATATGAAGAATTGCCATTTCAGTCCTCACTTTGGGTTAAATAAAATTATGAAATGATTAGTGTGATGTCTGTTTTCTGTGATTGCTTATATGCACATTTCAATGAAAGTAAACAATTTTATGTAATTCTTTTTTCTGTTCATTCTAATTATATTATTGAAATAAAATTTTATGGGCGTGGCTAATAAAACATTGAACTTGTATTTTATATGGCCTTTTTAACTTTTGTTTTTCCACTAGTTTTTATTTGATCTTAGAAAAAGTATTGGTCCATGATGGATTGGAATTTAAAAAAAAAAATGGAAAAAGAAAACAAAATGGTTTTCCACCACAGATAATCTACATTAAGTCTCCTGTCAGTTGTCATAGTACCCTATACTTACCTTATTGTGATGGTCATCTTGCTTTTATTATAATTCGTTATGTTCCTTGTTAAACTGAAAGCTCTGTGAAAGGTAGAGTCCATGTCTTTGTTTGCTGTTATATCTTCATGCCCAGAACAGTGTCTGGTACTCAGCCAGCTACTCAGTACTTATTAGTCAAAAGAATTAACTTTTTTTTGTTGTTGTGTTGGAATAATGATTAACTTCCTTAGTTATAAATGAGTTGGCTACTATAACCATGTGTCCTCAGGGAATGGTAATTATTTATAGTGAATAGAAAATATTCTTGGTATTCTTCTTGCTGAGTATTAGGTACTTTTATAAAATACATCTTTTTATTTCCATAGCACAACTGCCTCTGAAGAAGATGTCTCAAGTAGATATCCCCGAACAGATAGAAGTGGGTTCAGCAGATACAACAGGGATGCAAATGCTTCAGGTAATTTGGTCTCAAGTAGCATGTTGGAAAAGAAAATTGAAGATCTTGAAAAGGTATGAATTACAAATTATTTAAGATTGATAAATCTAATATACCATTGGGATTCCTTTTTTTACTTTCATAGCAGCTGAGAAAATAAATTGAAATTTGTATGGGAGAGAGCGTGCCAACAAAGGGAAAAGAATGAGAGATGCTAGTGGAAGATACGATTAGTATTAATTGGTATTTCCATATTTAGTCAAGTTGCAGTTTTAAATCACTGTCTTAAGTATATATTTTCCAGATACATTGTGGCTAGGCATTTTCTGATTCCCTTAATACTTTCCTATCCAGTTCTGTTGTTAAAACTTTTAGAAATGGAGCCAATTCTTGTATTCCATAATATTTAATGGATACTCCCATTCTGCTACGTGTTACCTCTAACATATTAAAGACAGTCTCTGTGTTTGAAGTGGTTATAAGTCTGTGCTGGCAATATGTCCTGTGTGTTTATTATATTATCTGTATAGTTTATCATTTGTAGACTTTCTTCTGGGTTCTGGTTAGAGCTTAGAGCCATCTTTGGTGTTTGAAACAGTTGTCAGAATAAACCTATTTAGGAGTGTATTTGAGTACAACAAGGCAAATGAATATTGGCATAAATATATTAACCATATAGTCTCAGGTATTTTTCTGTCAACATTTAATATGTAAAGTTGGTAATGGTACTGATTACTTTCTGATTGTTGAAAATATGTTTTGTATTGCTGAGTTGAAATTATTCTCTGTGATACAAAGATTGTTTTAAGTAGAAATTTAATTAAAAATTTTTATAGCATTATGATTGTTTTTAGTTCATATCTCAGCTTTAATACCAGTTTCTGTGAGTTTAAATTTTAAAAACTTTAAGGAATACATAGTCTAATCGGTTTAAAGGGTTTCTTTAGAAAGGCTTTTAGAGTTCCACATGAGTTTGGATCCAGTTCCGAGTAGTTTGGCAGCAGCTGTTTAATGAGGTGGGCTGGCTGCTTTTTCTGAGGGCTAGTAGGAAAGAGGTTAAATTCTGAGTGAAATTTTTCAGTTCTGCTTTTCTTTTGCCCCCAAGGTAGTCAACCCAGCCCAAGGCCCTGGATTCTAAATAAGATTTCTTTGAAAAAGGTGTTGCATTGTTTGAAAAAAAAAAAAAGTTTAAAAACCAGTAATCTATTTCAGTTCCTTTATTTTATCCATTAACTGGTAGAACCACAAGTAACATTGAGGACCATTGTTTTTCTGTTTAGAGTTTTCCAGAGCCATCTCCTTTTCTTAAACTTTGTGTGTGTTTGTGTGTGTTTTAAAGATTTATTTATTTGTTTGTTTGTTTGTTTATTTATTTGATGGGGGAGGGACAGGGGTGAGGGAGAGAGAATCCCAAGCCAACTCCGCTGAGCTTGGAGCTGACAAGAGGCTCAGAGATCACTACCTGAGTCAGAGGCTTAACCAACTGCACCACCCAGATGCCCCTTAAACTTTGTGTTTTGAATAAAAAATTTGAATTTCTTCAAACAGGATATTATCCATTTAAAAAATAAGATATATCATTACAATGGTGGTGATAAAGATGAACCATGAGAGACTATGGACTCTGAGAAACAAACTGAGGGTTCTAGAGGGGAGGGGGTTGGGGGGTGGGTTAGCCCGGTGATGGGTATTAAAGAGGGCAGTACTGAATGGAGCACTGGGTGTTATATGCAGTGAATCATGGAACACTACATCAAAAGCTAATGATGTAATGTATGGTGATTAACATGACATAAAAAAACAGTGGTGGTGATAAACTAAAGAGGGTAAGTCATTGGGTATTAGTATTTGTTAAAGAATTGTGTAAACATAGGTTTAATCAGAAATATGTGGCCACCTGGATGGCTCAGATGGCTAAGCATATGACTCTTGGTTTCTGATCAGGTCATGATTTAATGGTTTGTGAGATCAAGCCCCGCCTCGGGCTCCATGCTCCGCACGGAGTTTGCTTTGGATTCTCTCCCTCTCCCCCTTCGCCCATGCTCACCTTTATGTGCGCACTCTCTCTTTCTCTCTCTCTGTCAAATAAATCCTTAAAAAATATATATATATCTTAAAACTCCTGTATTCCTCTAATTCTTTGGGTCTTTCCTAGGATGGGTTTTTCCTTCTCTCACCAGGTGACTTAAATGCATTTGGAAGTCTTCCTGTATTTAGGGTGTTTCACCAAACTTGGCAGATACATATCATTTAAGGTTAAAAACAACCAGTTACTTCCCAATTAATACTTTGTAATTATATCTGCCAGGAAGTAGTAAGAGAAAGGCAAGAAAACTTAAGACTTGTGAGACTAATGCAAGATAAAGAGGAAATGATCGGAAAACTCAAAGAAGAAATTGATTTGTTAAATAGAGTAAGTATTCACACATTTCAGTTTCATAGTTTTTTTTCCCCTTCAATTGGATGAAAATACATATGTATGAAGAGATTATGTAATTTCATTATTTTGTTAATGAGATGGTAACTTGTGGTAATAAGAACCATCATTTCATTCTATAAACTGATTTCCTCTGGCCAGTTATCCATTGTATTCAGTTAATACTGTTCTTTTGGGGATGGACTGATGAATGGATTTGTTCAGTGTTTTTGTTAGAGTCTGGAGGTGAGAGGCAGCTTGGTCACCACCACACATAAAAGGGTATTGGTACAGAGTTGCCTCAGTGAAGAGCTAAACTTGCTACTTTCTTGCCATAAGACACTCCAGATGTCTTTGTATGTATTTTCACCACCTTTTTTCCCCAGTTAGTTATACTTACCCATCTCCAACTTTAGGTTTAGCATTATACTAGGTCTCTATTACACTATTTTGTAACTCTTTTTCTTGCTTTCAGCCTTAGAATTTACCTTCTGCTTAAGAAGCAGGTATTAGTGCTGGGCCGTACTTAGGTAATGTTAATGAGAAGAGATTCCATAGTTTTGCATATTAGAAGACATTAGATAAGATGGAGGAAAGAAATAAGTTGGCTTCAGGGAAAAAGGGAACAGATTCCTAATCCAGTCTTAACCCTAACAATGAAAGAAGAGAAAATAAAGAGGCTTCATTATGTAGATCAATTCTAAATAAAGCTCCTGAGGCATTAGCTACACGTAATAGATGAGGACCACAAAATTTAGTTTAACTTGCTCAAGGTCATAGGTAGTAATCACGGGGTAACTATCTGAGCCAGTATTTGACGTCAGGTATTCCAAAATCCTAATTCTGAGCTCTCCATTTTTGTAGACAGTCTTTCATCTTGGTTTAGAACACAGGCATTCTTCCTCTATTGGTTTTGCAATATGATTTAATAAAATCTGAAAATAGTTTTGAAGTCTGTGATATATTAGCACTGTCTTAGGTGCTGTGCATTAAAAAGAATAATAAAACACCTGCTTTTACAGAGTTTATAATCAAGTAATGATACAGTAATATATTTTATTATTTAATTCTAAATCTTGGATAGGTCTCAGTTGTAGTAATTTTCGAATCCTGTATATTTATTGTTGTTGCTTTCAACAGGTAAGTTCCCCAACATCATTCATTTGGTTTGTGAGTAAATGCAGATTCTATTTTTGCACATTTTAAAAACATTTGCCTAATTGTCCAAAGGCAGTATGCTAAATTTATCAGAATGCTGCTGTCTAGTAGCGTGCTTATAATTTAAACTGATTACTCCAAGTTTTAGTATTTTGAATTACAAGGATAAATCTAAAAATATGTGCTTTTACAACTATCAGTAAGCATTGTGCCTTGAAATAGTTTCTTCTAACTAAAACTTAGAGTGGATTATCTTCATATTTACTACATGGTTGTATATATGCCTCTAGGATTAACATAGGGAACATAGACCTGGAATCATATAACTTTAAACCTGGAGGATCATTACTTAGTTTATTGGCTTTCACTTTTTTTTAAAGCTCTAAAACCTTTTCCTCAAACAAAATGTTATAGAGAAGCCTAACATGAATTGAACCAGATCAACTCTGTTTGCTTCAGATCTCCTTTTCTGTATGCCTCCATTTTATCACTTCCTCAGATTTTCACCTCCCAGCACGCACCCTTTTTAAAGATCATACAAGGTGGTAGGAGTACATCCAGAACTTGTACCTCTTTTATCTTTTTGATGCCTCATTTGACACAGGCTGTGTTATCCGAGGCCCTGAACCTCCTATTGCCCACATATGTATTTTGTTTAGCCCTCAATTTGGGGGAAGGGGAGATTTGTTTTTAACTGAAAAATTAAGCTATTTATAATGATTAAAAATTGGAAGATTCACAATTAAAGAATTCTGATTTTTGACTTCTCGTAAAAAATGAAAAATCTGGCAAGAGGTATCTGTCTTATCATGATAATAATGAGAAGGAGTTGAGTAGTGGATGCTCCCTTCAGGTGGGGCATACTTCATCTAAAGTTGTTTTCAGAACTTGTCCTTGTTTCCAAATTAAATGCTTGTATGAATTATCTTTGAATGTGTGTATTTTAAAGTGTTTTTTATCACCTTTTATCACCTTATATTTTTAATTATTTAAAAAACTCCTTTGTTATTTTCATTTTTTGTTTCCTTAAGGACCTAGATGACATAGAAGATGAAAATGAACAACTAAAGCAGGAAAATAAAACTCTTTTGAAAGTTGTTGGTCAGCTAACAAGGTAGAAGATTCAAGTCCCAGTGTGGAAAAAATATTTTAAAACTACTGATTGAATGTTATAGTTGATGGTGGGGACAATATTCCTATGCTGCAATACATTAAGTATGTGTATTTATTTCTAGAAAACAGTGGGTTTTTATTTTCAAAATACTTCTTTTTCATTATTTCAAAACAGTATCAACCTTCTATTTCACGAATAAGTAACATCTTTCAGTTATTAAAATGATAGGTTATGCCTCTTGGTTTTGTGTGGTATTCAAGTAATACATGGTTTAAAGTCACAACCATTTGAATATATTTTTATCTATGGTAGTGTGTTTTCTCCCTAAAGGAATACACATAGTCTTTGTTTACATGAATTCAAATACTTTTGGGGAATTACCAGCAATTGCCTTATTACTGATGTGTGCAAACTTATATGTGTTGTTGATTTACTCATAAAGGCTTTGTCTATTGTCATTTGTTCTTTCAACTTATTCTAAGCAATTTAGAGTAATAGAGTGTCACCATTTTGTATAAGTCATCTTTAAAAAGGAAAGCTATTATGAAAAGTCAATTAATATCATGTACTAGTTGGCTAAATATAAAATTTTAAAGAATACTTGAATTGTGCTACAGTAAATTAAAATATACAATTTTTGTATTTGAATGTTGAAGAAAATTTAAAATCACTTTAGCTTCTGAAAGACATACACTTGTAATTTCATTGTAAAATTTCTTATGTAGGTACTGTTTTTTATTATTTCAAGATTTATAAATGAACATGGGATATTTAAAAAGTTTATTCATCAGTCCTGGAGAGTGTGTACAATTTCAATGTAAAAGAAAAAAAATCCATATTTTTAATTGTCATTTGCATTAAAAACAAAACCAAAATATTTATCCACACTTAAAACATTTACAGTTACATTTACAAAACAATACATAAACAGAAATAGTATTGAAATACTTTGCTTATTTCTAACTTGGAGAATAACACTGTGATACAGTTGTTCTCATATGAGAGAATTATTCCCCTACTTCAAATTTTAGGGATTTTCTTCCTAATGTTGGATTTTTAAAAACAATTTTTCTAAAAATTTTGAAGAAATATATACGTTTTCTATTAAGTATCATTTAATATTTAGAGTTGTATATTAAATTTTTATGTTGAGTAAGGAAACCCCCTCTTTTAAAATATATTAACATTAAGAAATGTCTGTCTGATAATTGAATCCTAAACAGTATACTGATACCGTTTTGTCCAGTTAAACGTAGTAAAATCCATTTTGGGTAACCTACTGTCTCTTTTTCTTCACTTGCCAAGTCCCTTCATTATTTACTATTAAAAAAATAGGGAAGTGAGACAACTGGACAGAATGTAAATGATAAATATCACATGTTGAATTCTAAAAATTCTTTGCGGTTACCTAGATTGGCTTCTCATTTCAGAAGTTTCAGCCTTGGCTGATCATTAGAATCATTTGGATTGCTCACAGAGAATTCCCTGGCTGTAATTTCTAGATAGATTTAGGTTGAGACCCTGGATAGAATTTTTAAAGCTCACCATCTGATGATTCCGATCATAATTAAGTTTGGAAATAGCTGCTGTCGCCTCTTTCCTTTCTATATCTTCCACTGGACACCCTAGAATTAACATATGTTAGTTACCAGCATTTTGTCCCCCTTTTAGTTTATTTAATAATTTATCTGGTCTCTGGGGAAGTTTTCATATGTTTAAATATATTTACCAAAAATTTCAATGTTAGATTACCAAACTTGATATAGTTGCAGAATTACTGCATAAGGGCATCCTTTTTGGAGAATGTTACCCAGCATGGGAACAGTGACCTGCTGTCCACATGTCAGAGGGGTATGCCAGGCTCAGTCACTGCCTTGGCTGTGAGGCACTCATCTCCCTTCAGTTACCCTTAGGTATTTTGCAGAAATATTGGTATTACGTAGTTTTACATCCAAGCTTTGGATGTTGTGAAAATGCTGTTAGTATCCAGCATTATAGTGTGCTGGTTTTTCAGTAAAGTTTTTGAAATTTCTATTTAATCCATATGTAAGGAAAGGAATATTTCATTTCTCTTTTAAAAATTATACCAGTTATTAGTGCTTTTAAAGACTGAGCTGTTTTTAAATTTTCCTTTTCTTCAGTTTATTAGGAAAATTTCCAACAATGATTTTTTACATAATGGTACCTAGTGCAAATACAGAAGCCTGACAACTTAGGCAGATCATTTCACAAGCAGTCCTTCCTCCTGTCCTTAAAATGTGTATTTATATCACTTAAAGATTTTTACACTGAATATTGAAAAATTAAGTAGGATCTGCTACAATTTCCCTTTAAAATGTATAAAAAGCATTGAGATTTTAAAAAGGTAAATACATGTGCACTACCTTAGAAAACCTGGCTGTTGTCAATAAAGTGCTAGTATTTGTGAAATTACTAGTTCCATTCAGAAATTATATTTCTTGGGACTTTAAGGCATAATAAAGCATATTCAAAGTTTTACTGTGTTTATGATATTATTTTCAAAACAATGTTTATTTTAAAGTGAACATGACTTGTCCCCCTGATTTCTGACATGCATTAATTTGAGAATTACAAAGTAACCTCCATTTTTCATTTTTCTAGAATTGTTATTAATTTTATTGCACTACAGTTACCTTTAGAGAGGAAGAGGGTGGTATTTATGTATTTCTAAGGGAATTTACTAAATACAGAGATTAGCACTGTCATACTGGCTCAAGCAGTTTAAAACATAGAAAATTAGGTATCGGGGGGCAGACGCATGAAGCAGTGTATTCTTTTTTTTTAAAGTTAACTTTTTAATTGTGGTTTAAAGCAATGTATTCCTAAGGTGAAAAACCTACCTCAATTATATGTGGGTTTATGTTTTCTGGATTAGTCTGGATTTTTATAATTAGAAATTAAAATGTGATATTTTGAGTCCACTAATACTTTGTTGAAAATACAAGTCAGTATAATAGACTTTGTAAGTTTAACACTGTAATATAAAACAGGAAAGACCTTTGGTTTGATCATTGATCTGATGTCCTAGACAATATTCATATGTACAGTGATAGTCATCTTTCATCTTTTTTGTAGTTTTATAATCTTGAGTCCATGCCTAGTAAGTTCCATGCAGTATTGGCACTTATTTAATAACTGTTCATGGTTTAGTTAATAGCCTGTTACAAAATTCAGGCATAGATTTTCATCTTGTAATATAAGAAACAAAACACACCAGGTTTTCATTGGGAGGAATAGTAAGTGAGAAAGAACTAGCATTCAGGAGTCAGAACTTTAAAATAATATGTTAAAGTCAGTGCTAAACATTCTCTTATTGTATCTGAACCATTCCTAATATGTAACAGTAAGCTTGACTTCCTATGCTCACTCTCATAAGTTAAAGGACATCCCATCAACTAGGATCATAATTTATATATTACTTATGTGAGAACTAGTGCCACTTTTGTTGTTCCATTTAATTGAAAGCATAATACTAATAGACAACAAACATTTTGCTCTTCAGGTGCTTCCCCCATGTTGTTAAATTTCTCATTGAAGTTTAGAAGTTGGTTGTCATTCTCAAACTTGAAAAATTACCTAGATTACCCTAGAAAACCTGAACCCATATTGTTTTTTTATTTTACTTAGCTAGACTCTCACAGCATGTTAAAATCCTGTACCCATTAACGTGTCAATATGTGAGAGGAATATGGATGAGGACTATAAATACATTAAATTTTCATATCTATTCTTTTAGCAAGTATTTATTAGTCTAGTAGATATCTAATTACAGTTCTTATAGATGTTTTTTTAAAAATGGACATTGACCAGCCCTTCATTTAGCAGTGTACTATCTATGTAGTGTGTGTCAGTAGCGCAAAGTGCAATCTTAATTAGCATTAGCTGGTCTAATCTGAATAGTTCATTCAAAAGTGTGTTTTTTGTTTTTTTTTTTTGTATTATCTAGCCATTGTCTTTTAGGTCTAGTTAATAGGTACCATTTAATTTGCTGCAGCACTTACTGAATGGTGGAGTGGAAGACCTGATGCATGTTGGGAAATATCTTACCATATTTCATTTAGGTAATTATGCTTTATGAAAAGAACATTGTTAAGGAATTTATAGCAGTAACAAAGTAAAAAGAATTCAGTGTATTTCAGATACAACAAACTATTAATGGTATTCTCTCTGTACATTATTGATTACTGGTTTGTTTTTAGGTATTTACATCTAATAAACTGTTCATATCCTGACACATACTGCTTTGGTAACAAGAGAATGTTAGTGATGATCACTTGATGAACACTAATTACATGCCTGTTTTGTTTTGATTCCTCCTCTGGATACCTAAGAGATATACATTGCCTTTTTTGGTGAACTTGTTTCTTGGAAGATTTGGCTATTTTAGTCAGGGTTTTTCTTCTAAATTTAAGTATCAGATGGCTGCTGCTACCAGCAACAACCATATGAAAACTGAAATTTACTGGTTTGTTGAAAAATCAGTTAAGTAAATATTTGTAGAAAAACACCTCGATAATTTATTGACCATATTAGTATTGTGTAGAGAGCTTTCATAATTCCCATGGCATAGGTTTTCATGGTGGGATAGTCAGCTTGATATAGATTCACTTTTAATAGGCTTTGCATGTAAAATAATAAATACTCAGTAAAAAAATAAATTTTCATTTATTTTTCAACGCTGGTTATTAATTTTTTTCTCCCTGAACTATCAGTAAAACCCTGACTATGAGTTTTACTTTCGGAGTTAAGGGATAATGTTAATATTCTAATTAATTTGTGTGCCTCTTACTAAAACAGTATGCAGTACATATAAATCTTTAGTATATACATTATTGTGGAAGGAGAAATGTTTAAAAAAAAAAACGCTATATTGATAAGATCTTTATACTTCAATGGTGGGACTTCTTGAAGAAAGGAAGTATACACATGTTCAATCTGACTAAAAATTTTAATTGTCTTTGTTTTAAAACTACATGAATAATTTCTTAATTCAGAATTGGAACTATTATCAACTAAATCTGATGGTGTTCAAAGAATTTCAGGTCCTTCATAGTTTGAAAAAGATAAGTAGGAGT